GCAAATAAGAGGTATTGCAGAAATTAAGATTGACTGTCCCCCGCCCCCCATTCACAGCCCTTGAGATTGTTTGTACTTTATGGATTTCTGAGGCCTGATGCTCTCAATATTCCTTGTAGCAAGACAGATCCCCTTACTGAGTCAAACCTAGTACAGTCACTGGAGGGAGTTCACCTTTTCTCCACAGGATGAGCATGGTCCTTGTCCTTTATTATTTGGTTTCTATTCCCTAAAAAATGACGTTAAATGTTCCCTCTTTTAAAGTAACACTTTGCAGATATGGTGGTGTCTGATCACTATTCCTCTTCACTTGATCTTAGCCAAAATACCGAGAAGTGATGATCACTATTCCTCTCCAAATGCTACCTAGGACAACCCCTACCAAGTCTCACCTTGTAAATCAGCTTACTTGGGAAGGAGGCTAAGGCAATGAATAGCCAATTGCCCCCATGAAAACAACTCTGGTTCTAATCTTTAGTTTTTGGCCAAGGGAATTAAATTTAGTCACGCCAGATACTCAGTTGTCACTTCTCAATATTCTTTGGATGCTTTCATTAGTGGGGCGGAATGAATACTACAGAAGCAAGCACGGGATGCATGCACATGCACACAGGCACAGATGCACAGACACACACTCCACCCACACGCCTCAAATAGGAATCTTTGGTAGACTCAGAGAATACAACTGATTTGCCATTTTTGTGTGAAAAGGCTGCACTGTCTCCCTTCACCCCCAAAGACTAACCTATCCCACTTTTTTTTTTGATGCTAAGAATTAAACATAGCGCCTTGTGCATGCTAAGCATGTGTTCTACCACTGAGCTACACCCTCAGCCATAAACCAATTAATGTTGGTAAAAACCATTTCTGCAATTCTTTGCCGTATAGTTCTTTTACAATGCAGTTCAGATAACACTGACTTGACTTCAAGAATATCATCATTGGGCAGAGGATTTAGCTCAGTGGTTCCGCCACCCGCCTCGCAAGTGCAAGGTCCCGAGTTCAATCCCTGGTACAAAATTAATAATAATAATAATAAAATAAAAAAAAAAGGAAAAAAATGAAAGAGTATCATTATACACTCAAAATTATGTCACAATAGAACTCATTGGAATACAGCTCAGACTAAATTTATGGAATTAAAAATTATGGAAAAACTGGACCAAGCCATGTGTAGTTAACATTTAGCCCTTTTTACCAGCTATTCCAGAGTTCCTTCACACATAAACTTGGTCCTGCACTCTAGAGCACTCTGGGTGAGATGAAGGGGAGGTTCCCTGGGTTGGGCATCTGCAGAGTCAAGGCTGAGATCCAGCCAATCTTGCTTCATCTAGTCAAGAGAAATGGAGGCAAAACATTTTGTCATCTGGTGAGATTGTCACAGGCTGGACTGAAACTATTTACTGTAACAAGGGGGGGCAACTAAAAGTTAAAATGATGGCTCAGCATTACCTGTTACCATCCACTTATCGGTATGGTAAAAACAGGGGAACAATAAGGGCGTAAATGACGTGGGCAAAAGAATGAGATGAGCCAGGAAGACTTCCCAGGGATAGAAGAAAAACAATTTCCAACCAGATACTACTTTTCATTTTTAACCATTATGAAACTTTCCTTTTGTGAAGTTTTCAAGTGTTCTGGTGGTTAAAAAAATAAGCATTAAAAAAAGCCAAACAAGCATTAGTTGGCAGTCAACGGAAAAAACTAAGAATTCAAATTACATGATTCCTTTTAAAATAGTCCTTTAGACAAGACGCGGAGGACAGGAACTCCGATTTATTATGGACAACAGCAAGGGGTTCCAACCATCTTTTTCTGCTATACTCCTATGCATCTTTCATCAAAATAATTTAGGTTCCAAATTTCTCAAACTGCTGTGTGACCAGCAGCCATTTCAAGTAGAATGAAATGTGTTCTCTGATTTCAATTCCAAAGACAAAGTAGAAAATAAATTTTTTAAAAAATTAAAAGACTCAAATGACTTCATTTTAGTTGTGTCCTTCCTGCTTTGGGGAGCACTGATTCTCACTCTTTAATTTTTTATAATAAAATTTCCTATTTGATATAATGCATACATATATAATTTGATATATGTTTTGATTTCTTTATGGCAGAGAAATACTGAGTTTCTATCATGAGGTTACTCTGGTGATTATATTTAAAGCCACCACTTTAGGTGTCAGTGAAATGTCCACCAGGTAGATGAAAATACTGATGTGTACATATTCTAAAACATTAATTGAATAAGCCAGTAAGATACCACTATCTTTGTTTAAAGTTTAGAGACTTTACCAACCAAGTGAAACTCAGATACAACATGGTCCAATAAATATCCACGTCAGCCTACCTGTGAGATTTCCAATTTAATAGTGAGCCCAAACCAAATAGGGTTTATGACTTCAGCATCAAATTTGTTTTTTCATCTTTCTAATCTAACCATGGATTTGGAGCTCAAGAGATATATATAATCCCAAGAAACTGGTAAAATATTTTCCACCACATGGGAGCTGATTTCATTAATTCAATGGGGCCTGATATTTGGCATTATTCTTTAAGAGCTCATCAGTGCCATGTTGTGGCTAAATGCTCTAAATATATGCTAGCTCACTGCTTTTCACTGAAATCAAAGGCCAGACTCCTGTATTTACCAAATGTGTAAATAACACATAACAAAAAAAATTTTTTTAAGTGTAGTATTTTGTGGACCATGTCTTTTTTTTTTTTACTTTTAAATTGTTGCAATATGGTTACTAGAAACATCCATTTGCTACTAATTCATAGCACTCCAAGCACTCCTGATTCCCTTACAATGAAATTTTCCAGATTTCCAGATTCAGGGAGACCTCTGGCAAGGGCACTTAATTTTTTTGTTTTGCTTTGGAGACAGGGTCTGTGTAGTTAAGACTGACCTGGAACTATGTAGCCCAGGATGGTCTCGAACTCACAGTAATCCTCCTGCCTCAGCCTCCAGAGTGCTGGGATTACAGGCATGCGCCACCATGCCCAGTTTAAGGGCACTTAATTTTTAAATGATAGATTTACCCTGTATAATCCAAAGACAAGTAGAAAGGCAATAGAACCCTACCGTAGTACTAGTCTTCAGATTTCACCGATTATTAATTAATAATTAAAGTAATATACAAAATGTCTTCATGCCTGAGTAGAAAGTTATACAGTTACATTCATTTCCCTATTCAAAGGTGTGCAGTTTCCACCTATTGTAAGTCAACAGAGTAAAAAAGGGTTACAGATGAGTCTATTACATAATAAAATCACTATGATTTCATTCAGATTTGTACCTTGAGAATGAAAATGGTCCACTTGATTGGGAGGAACAATAAATTTTAAATAAAGGAAAAACATTTTACAGAACTATTATGGAGCAAACTTGAATGTTTGGAAGAATGAATTAGAATGATCTGCCACATTCAAGAGTTTCTTCCCCGCCCCCTTTTAAAGACAAGTGTATACTACTCAGGGTGGCCTTGAACTCCTTGGCTCAAACCCTCTGGACTCATCCTCCCAAATAGCTCATATCACAAGTGTGCACCACCACACCTAACAAGTTTGTGATTTCAGGTAAGAACACTCCCCGAGTATTCCTAGCCTTTTAGGTAATACCTTTGAGAACTTCAGTGGATAACTATTAGGGTACAAAGATCCATGTGCATTAGTCAAAACCATTCAATGGAAAGACAACTTTCCATCCACTGTTACACAGAAAAATAAAAAATAGTAATTGGGAGAAAGCAAATTCTTAGAACATTTAGCATCCACCAAAGTGAAAGGTTTCAGGCAAAGTTGAGACCTTTGTTGGAAAACCATGGTTGGAGGCTCTGGCCCAATTTTAAGTTTATCTTTTAACCGGGACATTTGTAATCAATAGAAACTTTATTTATTTATTTATTTATTGGTACCAGAGATCAAACTTGGGCCCTTGTTGGACTGGGGATTTAGCTCAGTTGTTCAGCTGCCTGCCTCACAAGCACAAGGACCTGAGTTCAATCCCCGGTACCAAAAAAAAAGAAAAAACAAACTTGGGCCCTTGTACTTACAAGGCAGGTGGCGGAACCACTGAGTCAAATCCCTGGTCCAGAAGTTAATTTTTTTTTTAAAAAAATGTGGGGCTGTGTATGTAGTGCAGCGATAGCTTGCCTAGCATGCATGAGGACCTGGGTTCAATCACCAAAACTGCAAAAAAGAAAACATGAGTATTGAAAAGTAGTTCATCTTATTAAACTACCAAAATCTCTGAATTTTATTTTATTTCTTGGTGCTTTGGATTGTACCCAGGGCTTTGTATATGCTAAGCATACACTGTAACACTGAGCACCCCCCCATAACACCCCCAATCAAGGGCAGTAGAGCTTGGCATTGAGGCTCTTGTGATGAATGTTCAGTAATTCTTTTTTGGTACCAGGTATTGAACTTGCCTTGCATTTGTGAGGCAGGCAACAGAACCACTGAGCTAAATCCCCGGCCCTGTGAGTAACTCTTAAATCACTAATCTGGTTTGGTACACAACTCTCCAAACTTCTCTCAATAGTGGAGTAAATGCTAACATTTACTAGCAGTCACAGGAAATTCAGGTTGAAACTTGATGAAGCGACTCTTTCCATTAAATTGAACTTCCTCAGTAGAAATCTTCCCATCAACACGTAGGTTTGATTCTAGGGCACTAAAAATAAAGGGTATGAAAAAAGCTAGGAATGAATCAGATCTTCCAGAAATAAAAGACACTTTCAAAAACATATGCCAGTCACCTGTCTGCCCTACTTTAACACCTAAAGAGCACAAAGAATGTAAAGTTTTTAATAGCTAGCTGGTTCTGCTCTTTTCCATTCTTGCAGATAAATTTATTTAGTGTCTCCTCAGATTCTTATTTCCTCAAAAGGCAGAAGAGAAGGATGGCAAGGATAATGGCAGCAATGGGACCAAAATAAAATAAGCAATCTATTTTGTAGCCTAGTCTCATGATTAATGAATTCTATACTGGCTGCATTGAGTCTAGACACTCAGTGCCTAGAACTGTAAGAAGGTGCTCTTTTCTATTGTTTTGAGGGGAAAACATAATAAGACAATTTTTCAAACAGGTAAATGCAATTTGCACTCCCCCCACACACACCAAGGAAAGAATCCCGGGCCTTGGGCATGTGAGGCAAGTGCATTACCTCTGAGCTACATCCCCAGACTGATAAACAGAATCTATTAAGAGTAAGGAACAAGTTCTGGAGAAAAAATAAATCTACCCTGAAATCTCAGCTCCAGCAAGATTTCCCTACACCTTCCACTGAATTTAATTTTTTAATGAGAATAAAACTAAATAAAAACATGGTTCAAGTCAGTTAGGTCAGCAGGCAAATGCTAGTAAGTGAGTGATTTGACTGTGGAGGTAGGTGTGGTGGAATAGGATTTAACTAAAGGAAAATGCTTCCTGTACACACACACACACACACACACACACACACACACGCACGCGCGCGCGTGCCTATGCATCCATACTAGTTTAAAAAGTATGAACGTGGGGAACAGAGACACATGACGGCCTGCATAGCTCACACAGACTCAGATTCACAAAAATCCTTCGAGAGCTGCTGGTTCTATAGGAATGATTAGTAGCTGCAGGATTACACTTTCTCCTGATGCACAGGACTTTTTATATTGCTCTTCTTTCTAGGAATTTTTCCTTTTCAAGAGTTTTAAATCAAGTCCTAGAGGAATTCATCTTGACACTTCAATGAACAGATTCAAAAGGAGCTGCAGGAATAAAATTAGCAAGAGTTTTGACCCCTGGTAATCTGGGGAAAATATTCCTGGATTAAAAGTTTCTGGATTTAAAAAAAAAGCAGTTTTAGGTGGAGGTGGAAGGCCTCTATGAGGGAAACAGAAGTGCCTAAAAGTCCAGAATTCAATATAAACAAAAGAAATAGGCATAATTTAAAGGAGCTTCATCTCAGTATCACTGCAACTGAATTTGTTGGTTTAAAGGACTGAAAAATAATAATTGATAATATTTTTTCTTGAGAAGACTCTGGAGGAAGTGGTGTGGTGGGTTTTGGTGGGGTGGGGCACAGAGAGAGTCCTAAGGCTCAGGTTTTGCTCCTAAGGTTTCTGCTTGCCTGCTTTGGAAGGAAAGGGTGCTAAAGCAAAAGGATCAGTAGCTGGCAACTCTGTAGTCCTGGAGGAAAGGGAAGTGATGGAAACAGAGCCAGCTATCGACTGCTTATTGGTCTGTGAAACAATTTTGTAGGCAGCAATGGGATGGACTTCAAGACTTGGCTCGTCTTCTGGGCTATAGTGACGTGAATATTTGGATAATGATTGGGGACGGAATGGTTTGCCAGCAACTGGTCCTGAGATGGCTTCTTTCTGGGGCTGGGGTCCTTTGTTTCTGTCATTAGAATGGCCTCCAGATTCCATGGAGGGTCCCATGGGAGAGATGCTGTCAAGATGGTCCGCTGCTTGCAGAGAATGAGAGGGGAGGTTAGACTGTTGCACAAAACCAGCCATGGAATACTGAGCTTGGACAGAGGTATACCCTGCTCTCTCACGGCCTGAGAACAGAGGGACATCACCTGCCTGGCTGAGAAGATTGGCCTGTGCAGGCAGCTCCTGGGAGGGGCTCTGGACAACTGTTAACTCCTCCATGCTTTTCTTCTTGGTAAAAGGAGCTCTCAAGAACACATCCACCTCCTCTGGCTGGGAGAAAGCCACACTGCCCTTGGAGACAAATGGAGCTTTGGAAAAAATGTCCATGTCATCAGTTGGAACCCTTGAGCTCCTGAAGGGAGCGGTGGCAAAAACATCTGGCTCACCAATACCATCAGTGGCCAGCTGTGGGAGGGACTGGAACTGGCTCTTTCTTCCACCTTGCACTACTTTTGCTCGCTCAGTAGAGACTTCGGGCTGGGCGAATGGACTGCCTCCTCCCAGCTTCCCCTGGGGAGGTTTGCAGTTCTCATCCTCCTCTTCAGATTCCAGAAGGAGAGGTCGAGACCCACTGCAGTCTAGCATGTCTCCCTCCAGGTCAGTCCCTTCCTCTTCACTGCTGTGGAAAGAACTGTTGCTTGAAGGGCCATCTCTGGCCAAGTAGTCAGATTCTAAGTTGTTCTGAGTCTTTGCAGCAGGTATTCTGGAGGGGTCTGGATACAGGGGAAGGCCTTTAATGCCCGCTGATTCTTTAAAGTGTTCTACAGTGATTACAGGGCAGGGATTGGGCTCTCTCTGGAGACCTAGAAAAGCATAAAATGCAGAATTAATGTGTAGGTCATTTCAACTCTTTGTGGAACATTTAATGGTCAACCCGCGGCAGAAACATTGTGTGACCAAATAATAGATGTTGAAAATGGAAAAGGAAAAACAGAAAAATAAAAGTCAGGCAAGGAAATTGCACACAAACTGCAACACAACCAATCACTGTCTCACATTTTGGAACATGAAAGGCACAATATGCAGGAAAGTAGATGAAGATGTTAGGCACACAGACATTCAGCAAAACTACAATTCAATGCTCCTAATCAAGGGGCCAGGCACAGACACCTGCTCTACCTGGCACTGGCTCATAATGGAATGAAAAAACATCAGTCACTCATCTCCACATGTACCATGACAGCTCTAGATTATGTAGAAACACTGTCTGGGAATGAACTCAATCCAGTACCTGGCATGTGGCCATCTGCTCCACAGAGGGACAGACCCTCTGTAAAGAAGCAGAGTGTGGCTGCTTGATAAATCCAAGTTTGCTCGATAATTTGTCACAAGCACCACTCAAAGAGCACCAGAGTGTGCAAATACAAATACTGAAGGTACTTTCTAAGAGAAGGATATAGAATCAAAATCGTGCTAAATGAAGTCACCTTCAGTCAGAGTTGCCCTGGAATTTTGTTTTCAGTCTTCTAAATTAGCAAAGATCTCTTCTGCTTAAATGAATCTATCATTAAGATTTTTAAGCAGGAGTGAAATGCATGGGTAATTACAGAAAAGTCAGCAAACTCCAATATACTAGTCAATGGGTCTCTAGGTAGAGGTGCCTCAGGGTGCTCTGGCTTTTAAAATCAAATAGACAATTATCAGAATGCAAGAGAGCTTACCTTCCAAGAAATATTAGCAGGTTAGAAGTATGTCATTGGGCACATGTTAGCAAGAGGGCAGGAAAAAGGCATATGTAACTAATCAAGAAGAATCCAGACAAAGGGTGGCTGGGGGTAAAGGTATCATTTCATCACAGTCCCAATAAAGAGATACCAGTGGAGTTCCCCAACCCGTCAGGATTAGAATATTAGGTACAATGACTTGGAGCCACAGGTGACTCAGGCCCTCTGTATAGGTGGAATTCCATCATCCCCTCCCACATGGGCCCTCTCCCATTCTATGTGAACAGCTTGCAGCAATTTCTGCTAAAAATTATCCCCTGCTAAAGTTTCTGCTTGAATTAAGCACACAGAACACAGCAGAAGAGGCATCAAAATCAGTTTATTGGGAAACTAGTTACTTAGAGAGACATTACATTGTAAAGAGACTGTAGAGAGGGGTTTGAACATTTTATAAGATAAGGTACAAAAATACTGTTTCTCTGAATCCTGCAACTTTTTAGCAGTGCTCTTTATAAAACAGTTCTGACCTTAAATATTGTTTTCAGAACAAAATAAGTGATTTTTTTCACCCACTTTTATTTCTCTTTCTAATAGTTTGAGTGCATTCAGTGAGTTCCAAATTCAAATTTTACGTTAAATCCTATACTGGTGCAAAATGGCTTTCTGAAGAATATTTAAAGAATGTGATTTTGAAGAGAATAAATGTTTCCTTACATTACAACTTTAATATGCGCAGTTACACAGTGATACAAAAGCACTAGTCAGCTTACAGCAAACAAGAAGAACATCTTCTCCCCAGCAATATGTGTGGAAAGACACGTCCTAATTTCTCCAGCAAACATACTGATATCAGATCTGTCTTGGTGGTACCCAGATGATTATTTCTGAGCAAAATCCAAATGAAAAAGAGGCAAAGAATTTTTCCAAAATAAAATTCACTAGTCTTCAAAGGGAACAAGAGGCCCCTAAAATGCCTTATTTTACTTTCTCCAATATCAACCATTAGACAAAGTTTGTTGCCAAAATTAAGGCACAGTAAGGGGAAAAAATGAGAATCAAGACTTGCCATGTAAAGGTACATGATCCCAACAATGAATGTAACTGTACTGTATCCCTAAAATGCACCAATAAACTCAATAAAATTAAAAAAAAAAAAAAACAAAATTAAGGCACAATTTCTCATCTTCTATAACTATTCTGAAAGTTAATGTAGGAGAGCAAAATATCTTTGAGGAAAAAATAAATGAAAATTTTAGTCAAGCCAGTGACTAACTCTGGCATTATATGGACTGATAATCAAAATGAACACTATTTTGATTAGAGTATTTTCCTTTTTTAATTTAAATTGAATTCAGTCAAACAAAATTGTGTGCAGAAGCTACCAAAAAAGCAGTTGATTTGACTGAATTCAGCTTAAATTTCTAAAAAGCCCAAACCAAAACAAAACCCAAATCTATTCAAAGTAGTGTTCACTTTGATTATTGATCCATATGATGGCAAGTCATTGGCTTGACTGAATGCCTCAGGAGCACTTTGGATACCTGCAGTGCCAGATTCCATTTTGAGAGGTATTTGGGCCCAAGAGTGTCCCATATTCACAGTCAAAGAGGAAGAACATGCCCGACCCACCAAAACTATTTCTGTTAAAAAGAGGACTTTTGGTCAAAAAACCCACTTGGAAAACCCTTCAACTCAGAACACAGTCTATGACCTTCATGGTAATGGAATAAATAATATTTAATACCAACAACTTTCAAAAGTTTACACTCACAAAAAAATACCACAATGTCAAGTTTGAAGGAAAACTAGTTTCCTGACCTTCAAAACAAGGACTCTTTATCAATCTGCCTTTTAAGACTAGAAAGGTACATTTAGTGGATCTTCCTCAAGAAGGCCAAATCTCTAAACCCTTCCATTCTTTTGGGACGAGTCTCAGAGTAACTAAGGCAAAGAGCACATACCATAACCACCTTTTGCAACTTTCCAGGCCTGGCACTCTGAAAGCCAAAGAAATGCCAGAGAATATCCCTTTGGGAATTCTGGTGGTGGTCACATTAGAAACAAGGTAGTTAAAAGAAGAGATTTCAAGTAACTGTAAACAGAAGGTAGACATGAAGTCTTGTTAGCAATTAAAGGTCTCTTTTGGAATATATAAATGTGTTATAGGGGAAATGTGTTTTTAGGATAAATAGTCATTGCATGTGAAGACAGCCTTGTACTAACAGGAAAGCCTGCTTCTGCAGACTGCCTAATAGCAATGAAGGCTTTGTACCAATTTAACCTCAAGCCTTGGACCAGTTGTTTTGGTGACCAATGAAATGCACAGCAGATAATCTGTGACCACAGAACTCAAAGCAAGCCTGTTCCTCAGGGGCTTAGACTGGTCTCACAGTCTGTACAAGGATCTTATTTAGCACGAAGCCTAAGTGAGGCATTTTGTTATAATTTTCTCAAACTAGGTTATGTCTCTTTTTATTTTGGCTTAGCACATCAAATTAAGCAAGAAGTCAAAAACACTCTTTTTTTTTCTTGCTTTGATATAGGACTATGTGCCAGGTTAAAGCACACTTTTTGATACTTCCTCTAGTGGCAACTCCATTTTTGTTTATTTTGAGGCTCCAACTTACAAAGATTTCAATAAGAACTCAAGTGCTTCAGGGAGTAGCAAAGCAGTCCCCCAAAGTGTCTGATGACTTGGCAACTAACTTCACTAGTTCACTACTGACTTCCAAAGCCACCAAAAGTTAAGTGCTGGATGATGATTTGGGATGGGCTGACTCTAAAAGTTTTATCAGACTGAAATAGTAAGGGTCATCAGATTGCTTCACAAAATCAAAATCCAGAGACTTAAATTTCAGGCTGAATGTTCCTTAATCTATTAGTATATCAGAATCTTTTTTTCTCCACACCATAAATTGAAATAACAGCTAAAGGGAACAGCAAAGACAAAATTCTTGCCAAAAACTTCAAAAGATATGGAATATTGAGAAACTTTCTCATGTAGTTAGTGAATAGGAAGCCTTTACAGGAACTTCAGAAATGCAACATCAACTGAAATTCACAGTCTTGGAACCAAATCGAAGAATTAAGGGATGTGCACTAAACTAATGACTATTGAAAATAACTGCTAAGCATTTGGTTCTGCTATATGTTGGGTAGCTGCAGTAAAACTCACGGCTGGATCTGGGCCATCAGTGGCTATGGATGCTGTGCCTCTCAAGCCTATAAGGCAATTAAATGAGAGCAATTTCTCACTGGGCATAAAGTTGTTCTTGTGAACCTAAAATGTTCCATTAAATAGGCCTGGGTATATTAAAAATCAAATTAGAGAACAGCAGCTGCAAATCTGGGCTCCAGTTTATAACCCCATGTCTGATCAAAGCAAATACAGGCTCACCAGTGTTTTGTTCTATTTGACCATGAGTTTTATTTTCCAGTGTGCCTATGACCCATTCAAATGTCCTTGCTGTCTCTCACGTGTCCTCACTTTTCTTGTGCAATGTATTTACTGTCATTCAACAGTGTGATTAAGTCCTTTTGCAAGAGTTTTCAGCTTAGGATAACAGCAGCTATTTTGAGTTATTTACATCTCTAAACATCATGCTCTCATTTGAACAGATACGTCTTTATTCCCCTGTATGTTTACATAAGAAATTTGTTTACAGACTTGTTATTTATACAATACTTGCAAAGCAATACTCGAATTTCACATTTTTACTGCATAAGATAGCTTCATGTACATCTGTTTGCTTTGTCTTCTTGGAGAGGACAGGGTAAAGACCTATCTATGAAAAACATACATCCACATGACAATGGGGTGAGAATAAGGTCAAGTAAAATACTCACAGGAAAGAGTAAATTCAAGATACTGCATCAGAATGAGAACCAAAAGTGTCTTCCATTCTAGCAATACCACTACTTGGTAACTTTGCATAGGTTAACATTACCCATGGAGCCTCCCTTTCCCACCTTAGTGAAAGGAATCCCTAGAGAAACAAAATAGGATCTTGTGAAGAGAAGGCATCCCTCTTTATTTATTCCACTTCAAGAAACCCAATCCATTCAACTTCAGGGACACTACCAGTATAGTAAGAAAAAGGCTAATTTTTATTAGTAAAATTACTTTCTGGAGAGGAACA